TTATTATTTATTTTTTATTTTTTTTTACATTTTTTTTTTTATAATATATATTTTTTTATTAGACTTTCTAAAATAAAATACATAAAAACTGAATTGGAACTACAAGCTTCATGCCTAAAAAGCTCAGGGGTGTTATAACAATAAAATTAACTTTTTAGCTGCAGATTAAGATTATTTTAAGGTCCAATTCTTACGATGAACCAACCATTAACTATGACTTTTGCCTCAATAAACTCCTAATTTGCTGCTTATTAATAGTTAGTAAGGTAGTTGTTAGGTTTAGGTATTGGGTAGGATTAGGGATGTAGAATATGGTCATGCACAATATGTGCTTTAAGTACTAATAAACAGCCAGTATGTTAACAGTAGGCATGCTAATAAGCTACTAGTTAATAGTGAGAAATGGTCCCTGTACTAAAGTGTTACCAAAATGTTTTAGCATGCCTGTATGCATTAACATTGATCTGAAACCCTTTAAATAAACCACTGAATAGTTTATGAAATACTTGGTGGTGTAAACAGAAAACTGCTGATAGGGCATATGCCTGTGTACAAAATCCCTCCGCCCAAGCTTAAGGCAGGTGTTCAAATGACTTGGCAGAATATGAACCTTATGGCTGCATGCTGTCAGTCATCTTTCTTATCAGAGGTACTGTCCTCTTGGTGGTTATTATGAGAAGCAGTACAGCAGTGAGACAAACTGGCATCAAAATCTAGCTCCTCCCCCTGGAGACCCTGGTAACGCTGTAGCTCAATGTAGGTGGTGAAGAGCTTGGCATACTCCGGGTGGGTGAGAGCGAAGGAACAAAACTCATCTGAGAGACAAATAGAGAAAGGAAAGTTACTACAGATTTATACTTTTGATACTCAAAAAGAAACCACACTAATCAAGTAAGTGTGGCGGGCATTAATGAATGAATAACTTAATATGAATATGCTATGGTAAATAGCATATTTACGACAGACACTGTGTGAAAACATCCTTGATTTAATTTGGCATGCAGCTGAAATCAACTCACACTTCATGACAACTTTCTGCAAGTATTAAAAAAGACCAGTCCCAGTCAAGATTCAACCTTGACAACTGATAGATTAGACAAACAACAACAAGCCTTCACTCGAAAGTGTTCATGATTCCACACACAAATATTTTCCAAGGCGTTTACATACACAGCATGGAATCATGTGCTGCTAACCATGACACTTTCATTTGCAGAAAAAGCCTTGGGACCTGGGGTGATGCTTTTTAAATACCTTAAATTATTGTGGAAACTTCTGTTGGACTTATATTGAAAAACCTATATTGAAAAAAACAGCATTCAGTCTAAGAAATCTGCTAGTTCCTGCTTGCTGAATGCATGCAACAGACAGCCCAAAGTCAAGGTTCAGTTAAATCATGTCATGAAATGATCTGTATTAAGGGATTTGGACTGTGATACTCCCTAGATTTTCAAGTCAAGTCAAATCCATGTTTGAAAAGCAGCTTCACAGGAAAATATTGCTGTAATATCTGTAATGTCTTACATTTTGTGGAGTCCTCACTGAGCAGTTGTATTTAAATATTTATTGGAACAATTATGCCTAAATATATTTTCAAATCAATAAGATTAGTTTAGTAAAGATGATGTTAGTATAATGCAATTTAGCATTGAGTAATTTGCTTAATACAACCTATACAAGTTAACATTGTCAGTGTTAGGCCGGTGTGTAGTTCAGTTCAGTCTTACAAGCAACAATTGGGTTTCACAACTTTAAAAAAAAAAAAATTTGAAAAACTAGACAACCACGTTCCTGTGAATTGTGTTTCTATGTACAAATCTAAAAAAACATACCAAATGGCAAAAACACTGAATATAGCAAAAAATATATCTATCATGACAGCCCACAGAACACTTGGTTATAATAGTAGCAGTTCTAATAGTGTTATTTGTTAGCTAAATTTCATACACCATGGTTGAAAAACGAAGGGTCCCACTTTATATTAGGTGGCCTTAACTACTATGTACTTGCATCAAAAATGTACTTATTGTATTGCAAAACACTTTTTCTGCTATTGAGGTGGGATATGGGTAAAGTTAGGGACAGGTTTGGTGGTTTGGGTAGGTTTAAGGGTGGGTTAAGGTGAAAGGAATGGGTCAACAGTGTAATTATACATGTAATTAGAGAAATCAATTACAAATGTAATTACATGCAGATATTTTTTCAAATGTAAAAACATGTATGTACACAATATGTGCACTGTACCAAATGATTAATTTAAATGTAAGTACATAGTAGTTAAGGCCACCTAATAAAAAGTGGGAATAAAAGAAGTATTCTCTGAACGATAGCACTATTAATATGACTGACAGTTTTATCACTGTGGTAGTTGCTATACAGTTGGCATACAGACCATAAGTTATGTGTCCTGATCCATCTGCATCAATTTCTCTGAAGAGGCTGTGGACGTCAAGATCACACACTCCAAGAGCAGAACGCAGCAAACCGCTAAACTCCTCTTGTGTGATACAGTTGTCCTCATCAATGTCAAACAGCTGTTGAAAGAATTCACAGACACATGATACACATGACCATTTTTTGACAATAAATCACACAATAGTACTCCCACATAGTAATGTTCTACTGTTGACTTTCTTTTTGTCAAGTTCGAGATTTTTTTTTGTAAACCACCTCAAGGTGTTAACAACCACTGGCATTAACCACACCACAAAATGTTTTCTTTTAATCTTTGCACAGTCACATTTTGAGATTTCATTGTGATATTTATTTCACATTAACATCAGTGCAATCTGTGATATCATTACCTTAAAAACAGTCTGAATGACTTCCTCATTATTAGCTGGGCGGCACAGAACTGTGACACCAATGACATACTCTCTGAAATCAATGGTGCCATCGCCATTCTACAAAGAGAAAACATATGCTTCAAACAGGCCACACTGTGAATAAAATATAATGCCGTTAGAGTCATCCAGTACCATAGATTTACTGTAGATTTGTTGTTTTGGAAACATTACCACTGAAGGTAAAGCAGATTTTAAAGCAGATATCTGAGAGCATTTTATACATTAGCTTCTGTTCTGGATCTAAGTGACGTTCTTTTCCATGCGGTTAGTTATAGACAAACTCACCCTGTCAAACAGAGCGAAGAGCTCTTGTAGAGCTGGGCTGACAGGCAGTTTGAGAAAGCCAGCAAACTCCTCAATTGTGATCCTGCCGCCTTTGCAAGAACAGGCTATGTTGGCAAAACTCTCCAATTCCTTCTTCACATTGTCCCATTTTAATCTGGAGTTACAACAGAAACAAAGATTTTAAGCTTAAACTACAATAAGCTTAAATTGTGGGATACCAGTCTCAAAATGTTTACTAATACCAAAGATATGTATTTTTTTTAAAATAATATATACAGTCATACTCCAATTTCCTGCTAATCTTGGTAAACTCCACGAGACCTGCCTCCATAGGCAGGGTCAGTTCTCCAGCTGCAATCATCAGACGACAATCTTCGTAGGTGTGGTCTGTGACCGGCAGGCCCAGAGACCTAGTGACAGAGTGAGAAATTGTGATACGACCATTAACACTGAAATATTGTATTGTGTACACATCGTAAATATCCAATAAATATAAAGACACAGAATAATAAATAGCAACAAGGCACGCTTACTCAGCCATCACAGCTCTCACTGACTGAGCAAACTTGATAGGACACCTTTTCTCCATCTCAGTAGGAATTCGAGGGGGCAGAAACTAAAACAGAAATGCAATACATATACTTAACTTTTTGGAGATTAGCTATATAGTATGTGGGATTAGGTTTGTCATTCATGTTTCTTCATTAAAGGTGCAAAAAGCTGAGCATATTATCATGAAATACACAAATGTTTCTCACAGACCTCAACCTCCACTGTAGTATAGAGCTGACAGAGTGTGAGCAGCAGTAGTCTGGCCCTAAAACAGGAACTGGTGGTGAGGTTCCAAACCAACAGCATTTCAGGAAGCATTGCTCTCTTTATATGCATGACTGTGCAACTGCATTTCTTGTATGACATACTACAAAAGGGTCTCAAAACCAAGCTTATCTAAGAAAGCGATCTACAACACTAAGCATGCAGAGATGTCTCAACGTGTAAGGAGGAAGATGAGAATTTAGTCAGACCGCATGTTATTTTCCCCTTTGGTTTGAATATAAAATTGTCTTATCTTAAATGCCAATAAACCAATGAAACATCTTTTTTGGCTCATCAGCAGTTGTTTTCATCAGCAATCATCAGCAATTTTGTGCTCACTGACATGCTTGCGCACGAATCACGGTCACGCACACGCTCATAAGAATTGTAAGATCTACTGTATCAGTGGCGCCTGCATGTGTACGGCTGTACGCACTGTGAGTACCATGAGCGCTCAGACTGACCTGAGATTTGCCCCGCAAACATTTCAGCAGTTATCATAGGCCTGTGTGTCCCGTATTTCTGTCGACTGAACCCATGCCGTTAATTATGAATTAATCAGTCTTTTGCAAAGTCAATTTCTGCATATAAACATTACGCCAAATAGAAGCAGAAAATCGTGCTATACACACTTTCATGAGATCGGGTTAGACTACAACAATTCATTTGTAGGCTATTTTACAAATGGGAATACAACGAATTCATGACAATGTTTACATTCAAGCTACCCGTAAAATGTATAGTGAAAAGTACTT